AATCACGGTTGATTGTATGATAGGTACTAAATACAATTTTGCTTCATTTAAAAGTTTTGTTTCTTGTGAGAATTGAAACAAAGACAATACAGTTATTGCCGCATGTGTTATGATGATAACATATTGTATAATCATTTCCATCAATTTTAATTGTTCGGCTAATAAAGTGGTTACAGCAATTACATTAAATGGTATGCTTATTATTAGATAACCGTATAAGGCATTACTCCATATTTCCTGATAACAATATAGCAATTCAAAACAAGCATAACTGTGCTGATGATAAATATAATCTAAGAACATTATTGTTCGTCTCATCAATGATATCATTGTAAATTTTTCATATAATACTGCATGTCTATTACGTTTTCGACAAGCTGATGCTATACGCTTTAATTGTCGATTCAATCGTCCCAAATGACATTCAAACAATAATCCATAACAGAGTGACAATATGACAAAAAGCAGTCCACATTGGACAATTGCAAAAATATTGTAAGTTATATTAATTACTTCCAACAAAAGAACGATTTTGATGATAATCTTATTGTTTGGAAAATGATCGGAAACTGTATTATATAAATCATACATTGCAATCGAACATATGAAGACTTGATTGTGGATTAAGAAATTTTATTAGAAACATTAATAGTAATTTTCTGGTAACACTTACATAAACCAATATGTAATATAGTGATGATTGGATTGATTAGTGTTAGAAATTNTGACAAAAACAGAATGCAAAAAAAATCCTTTTCGAGTAATTTTCCGGCTAATGGCTTGATCGCAAAAATGTTTGTCAATTCATTAAGAATTTTTCATATTAAATTTTTAATTAAAATGATCATTTAAAACTATTCAATGAATTTCTTTGAATAATTTGCTGCAAGTTTCGATTAATTTTTCTGTAAATGTCGGAATACCAAATAAAGAACAGTAACTTTTTTATCAGTAATTCTTTATCATATGATAATAATAAAAATTGAAGTTGAATGGTTGAATAGCGATCCGAATTTCATTATCAAATAAGCAAAGGAAAATTTAAAAAAAAAGATCATTTATACAATTTTTTAAAGTTTTCATTCTAATTTTTTTGAATAATTCGTTTTAATTGATAAAATCAAGATGAGATAATATAAAGATGAATACACCGACATAAGTAATTACCATCTGTTTAATGAAAAAAAAGACAAATTGTTTAATTTTTTTTTATAAACTAGATCAAATAAACATTACATTGAATATAAACATATTGGTGATTACACCAATTGTTGAAACATTTGGTCCATATTTTCGTCCATTTGTCAATCTATTGAATAGATCTGCATATTTCATTTTTAAACCTAAAGTTTTTGATAGATTTAGATTATTATTATAAAATCCAAATAAAGATCCAATTCTATTGTGAACAGTTCTATTATAGAATACCAACGATTGTATGATAGGTACTAGATAGAATTTTGCTTCATTTAGAAGTTTTGTTTCCTGTGAGAATTGGAACAAAGACAATACAGTTATTGCCGCATGTGTTATGATGATAAAATATTGTATAATCATTTCCATCGATTTTAATTGTTCGGTTAATAAAGTGGTTACAGCAATTACATTAAATGGAATGCTTATTATTATATAACCGTATAAGGCATTACTCCATATTTCCTGATAACAATATAGTAATTCATAACAAACATGACTGTGCTGATGATAGATCCAATCCAAGTTCATTATTGTTCGTCCCCTTAATGGTATCATTGTAAATTGTTCATATAATACTGCATGTCTATTACGTTTTCGACAATCAGATGCTATACGCTTTAATTGACGATTCAATCGACCCAAATGACATTCCAACAATAATCCATAACAAAGTGAGAATATGACAAAAAGCAGTCCACATTGAACAATTGCAAAAATATTGTAAGTTATATTAATTACATCCAACAAAAGAACGATTTTGATGATAATCTTATTGTTTGGAAAATGATCGAAAACTGTATTATAAAAATCATACATTGCAATCGAACAAATGAAGACTTGATATGTTTGATTGAGAAAATTGAGAAATTGAAAAATTTCATTAAAAACATTATTATTAATTCTCTTGTATCACTTACACAGACCAATATGTACTAGAATGATGATTGGATCAATTAGTGTTAGAAATTTAATCATCTTTAAGCGATCTTCAGAAATGATATTCAATTTTGTTCGTAATGGCTTCACTCGTATCCATTTTTTATTATCAATCTGAATGGGATATTTATCCACATAAGTTTGCCATAATGTTTGACATCGACAAAAAGTTCGAATCAGAATATCTGGAACGAAACGTTTTGATTCACTAATATTCAAGTAATTATTCCGGAAACTTTTTTCCATATTTTGATTTATTTGCGATTTGGTTAGTTTACATTGTTGGAATTGTTCTATATTATGTACAACGAACTCGTAAGTTGTTCGGAATGTAACTGTATCAACACGAGGAAAGAAGAATGCAAATTTACCGAGAATGCCCAACAATGTTAATATTATAGCGAAAGTTGAATATTGTCGAAACAATTGTTTAAATGATTTAATTAGATAGAAACAAAATGGATCAATCATCCAATATTGTATGTAAGTTTCATGTAACATATAACTGATCATTCCAAACGTTATTCGCATGGAAAAAATTGACAATAAAACAATTTCGAATGCATGCTTTATTTGATATCGTTGATTATGTCGAAATTCAACAATTTCTTTAAATTGATAATAAAATAGATGATGAATTTTCCACATCATTTTGAATTTCAATTTAAATCCTATTCTGCTACAAATAAATGTTAACTTATCAGTATGATGATGAATACTGACGCATTTCAAGAAGAATACCTTTTCTAAATAGTTTGGAAGAAACTATAATAACCATAAAATTTTTTCTTCTCAACTATCAATTTCGCAAATGAAAAATTACTTTTTAAATCGAACTTCATGTAATTAAATTCAATAACAAAGGTTGTTAATGAAAAAAAACATAAAAACGATATGATGATTAATGAATTCGCTTAATGAACTAAACTTGGTGAAAAACAAAGGTGTTGACAAAACTAAATTGTTCAACAACGAAATTATCTCCTCCACTTTCAAAACAATTTTTTTGGAACTTTAAAGTTAAAAATTAAAGTTTTCAAAGCCCAATTTTCTATTTTTAATCGATTTACCTGGCAAAATTTATGGGATGGTTTTTTTGTTGTTGTTGTTTGGATGAATGAATTTGGTGGTGAAAATAATTCAAGGATTTTACCTTGTTTTAATTTGAAATAATATTCAGTGTATTTTGTTAAACCTAGATAGAGTACTTTGTATGAATTCTTTTCGGTTATGAATCATGATTGAAACAACAATAGCTACTTTATATTTCTGGAACATCTTTCCTTTTTGTGGAAATTATAATTTTACACCTGTAGAATTTCATTCGAAATTTTATTTGAATAATTTTTTGTTCGATTTAAAATATAATTCTATGCAATTTATTGGTTTGATAAATAGTGCTGCTATACAAATATTTTCACCTTTTTCACCTCAAACACAATATTGTTCAGGTTACATATCTATAGTGTATTGTCTATAAAAATAAATCCTAAATTAAAAAACAAACAAGAAAAGTAAATAAAAATCTGAAACGAATTGTCATTACAAAGTATATTTTTTAAATTGTGATTGAAAATTTGATAGTAACCTGCGTGAATAACAAGTTAAAGTTTCTTTTTTGTTGTTGTTATTATTAAATTATTCATATGATTACAATTAATAACAATCATCATTATGTATTAGTAAAATTAGCCATTGGT